CACAGCAGAGTCCCTGTGACTTAGCCCCAGCAGAGCTCTGGTTTCAAGGAAATCTGTTTCACCATCATTGACAGCATGTGGCTGTCACCCTCCCCTCTCTCTCTAGATGATATTGGCTCCACTAGCAGGCACAGGAAACATTCTTTGTTCTTCATCTTATCTCAGAGTCTCTCATTTGGACCACGTAATTCCCCTTAAGTAATTTCTCCCCACTTTGCATGTGTGTGTATTGTTTCTGTGCCTGTGACTGGTGTGCACACCTGTGTATGAACCCCTCTGTGGGCCACCTGTACACACACACACACACACACACACAATGTTTACAGTGAGTTAACTCTCTTATTCAGCTGGATTAAATGTGCAAACCCTAAGCAGCAAGAGATCTTTGTTCTCTTTCTTGCCACATAGAGCCTCCAACACCTAGAGGATAGGTGGGATGTGAAATCATATCACCACAGCATCTTGAAGAGGCAGAAGAGATTATAGACCACTAGGCTTAAATATTTTCTCTAGAGCTCCAAACCATCACTATGGCCTTTTGGATTCTAGGAAAAAAATCTATTACAAATTGTTATCAATGTAAAGTTACCAGCATCTTCTGTACTTGAATTGTGGAGGATTCTTCCTAACACCTCCCTGGTCCCCAGCCAAAAGTACAGCAGTCTCCCTTGGTCCCTGCTGGCCAGCATGGGGGCATTTTACCTCGCTCATAGAAGCTCAATAAGATGCAAAATATGACAAGCTGGTAGAAAGGAGAAATAGACACATATTTCATTACTGAAAGGGAAACAAAAAGAGGGCTGCAGCAATGCTGGATAATAAATAGATTTAAAATGCTTCTGTCTAGTACTAGCATTTCCTTTTATGCCTACACAAGTTTCTCAGAATGAGATGGAAGGTAAGAAGGAAAGGAAAAGCAATGTGTACACTCTGTGGAAGGACCAAAACTCCAGCCTGGTGATCAAACCTCTCAGGTAACTCTGTCAACATAGCAGAAAAACAGAGGGAAAGAAAGAAATGGGGAGGGAGAGGAGGGGGAAAGTCAGGACTAATGGCAGCTTTGAAGCAGAACAGCACAGAAAAGAGATGAGAAATATCACAGGAGAGAAATGACTAGCTGAGGAATAAATGTATTAAAAGAGCAGATTTATAGTCTAAGTGGTCACACAGGTCTCCTGCGGGCTTGATAGTAGAGTAAACCTGTCATGGATACAGCCTAGTTGTATGGCAAGGCAATCCGTGGGAAAAAGCTCTGCTAATCCATCCAGGCAGTGCTGTGCATGATCTCCAGGATGCTCTCCCCAGCACCAGCCCTCCACAAAGTACAGCACAGGTCACTGAGGACCCTACTCGCCCTGCAGGAGCAATAATGCAGGGAAAGCTACCTGGAGAGACCCAAGGAGCATGTGTGTGCTGCCTTGCTTGCCAGGCAGGGCTACGTGTCCATCAGCTCTGAGTCGTGTGTGTGTTGCACAGCTGGATGCAGCGGCCTGAATTCACAAAGTGCCATCCAATTTCCCTCCAAAATCTTTCCTCTTCTTGCTGGTGTGTTTTATTGCTGCTGCTCCTAACAACTGTGCACCAAACATTTAGAATTATGTGCCTACTTGCAGCCACTGCAACACAATTTATTCAGCTCACCAGTAATCCTGAAACTGGCCTAGCTTGTAGTTTGATTTGCACAAAGCCCAGGACATATAGTTCCAGTAAATTCTTAATCCACAAACCAGTTTCAGACTCAGTAGTATAACTAATCAGAGCTGCCACCAACCCTCCTTGCCTCGTCCCCAGAACCCCTGGAGTCAGCTGACACCCCCAAGTTAGTTTTAGTCTGGGCTATTTCCTCCCTGAACACAATGCATCAGCGTGCTCGCGAAAGCTGGCACCTCAGGCATGGAAACCAATTCTCCGTGCTATCTGCAGAGGTTTGGTCATGGGATAATGAAAGCCTGAATTCAAAACCCACTGAAGCTATTATAGCTATAAAGAGGGAAGGAGGGAGAGCTCGGGAGAAGAAGACAGACACAGAGGTCTATTTCTGACTACAGGTGCATAACAGGGAAGCAGTCTTAAATACTCTGACATCTGAGAAGGGAATACTGTCCTTCTCTACTGCTAAGCCACCAGGGACATGCTATTTGAGCTTTGCCATTTCCACTTAAAACCGAGGACTACCTCTAGCACCTGAAGCGTGAATCACATGCAGCTGTTCAATGACCCGAAATAGAGGAAATGAGAAAGCACTCAATGTAGTTGTATTAATTGCACATGTACATCACAGTGTGCATACCTACTAGCATGTGCAACTTACTGTTGCCTGGGAGAAGTAGAGCAAAGATTGAAACTCTGCTTTCTGTGCTATTCTCATATGAGAATTTTCAAGATATGAATAAAAAAAACACCCAAAAACTTATAGAAGTGACAGTTGGTGTGATAAAAGAACCAGGGAAATTAATCTTATTCTTCCCAAACTTTTCCTATCAGATCTCTGCATGCTAACAGGGATTTAAAATTGTCTATCCTGACCATCCAGCAGCACAACCAGCTCCCCGCTTGCAGCACTATCAAAGCTTGCTTGTCCCAAACTCAGACTAGAGGGTACAATGATTACGGCACAATGTTTTTATGAGTGCACCTATTCTCATTTTGGGTATGAAGACAGATCTCTGTATCACCTCATATTGGATCCACATTTATGTGACAGATTGGTCCTATTATGCAGGGCTTAAAAGGGAAAGGGGCAGGAGGTTCAAAACGCATGCATACAAGTGGAAGCACCACTGTAAGAAAGCACAGGGGATACAGGTGGAGGGAGCAGGGGATAGGCTGAGGCAACACTACATGTTCTTATGTCTCCATGACTCCAGCAGCCTGCTAAACCCTGAGAGAGCACCACATGGCCTTGAAATGTGCAGGGAGCTACAGTACATCCCCAGCTGTGCCCACGTTGCTGTGATAAAGCAGTTGCTGCTGGCCAGGAGACAACTTTCTACTGACTTGCCCATCAGGCATCCCCTCTCTTGCTGAGCTCACTGGGAGTCATGATGCAGAAGGTGTCACCAGAAGCAAGATGGGGCCAACCAGCTGATAGTTAAAACTTCTTTCCAACAAAGAAACATCGCCTAAATCAGTGGGTGATTGCAGAAACTCAGCAGTAGTGGCAGCACTTGCTGAGATCATCAGAGCTCTCTGAATGGAGCTGTTTTCTCCAAAAAGTAAGGGCGCAGTTATCTCCACAATAAAAAAGTGGCATGGTGACATAGCACCTCATTTCAGCTTCAAGCAGCAGTCTCACCAATAAAAAAGTGTGAATTCCTTAACTCTGTGCATGTGCGTGCACGGAATTTGTGCTCCATTGCCCCCCTAAAGGGCACTTCACAGAGTAGGCCAAACTGTGTCCTGGCAGCAAAAGTAGAGAAATCCAAGCTCATTCACTTTTACCAGAGGAATTTCAATGAATGATTATTTAAGAATGTAGTAACATAAAGGAACCAACAGAGAACAGTCTGTAATTTGCTAGGCACTGTCAAAGCACTGAGGAAGAAACAGCTCCTGTTTAAGTGCCCACACTTTAGTAGCTAGACCTGACACTGATGCAGTGAGTTATAGACACATTACATTTTAAGTACTTGTGTTTTCTTGCTTTGTTTCTATGATATCTCGGTGCCTTGTGGTAGACTATTTGCATTCTTAACGCTCCTGTAAAGCAGATGCCATTTCTGTATCTCAATGGTGAACTTGGGCAGCAGGGGACTAAATGGCCTGTCCCACATCCCACAGGCTGTATCTGACACCAGGAAATTGAACCTTCATCTCTCAAATGCCAAACAGCCTCCTAATTGACACCCCTTTGTTCTTGTACATCTCCTCTAGTTCACACTTAACAATCAGGCAGTTAATACCCTTTGTGAAAAGTGGGAGCTTTCCTTCTGCTATCTCTGTTCTTCCCAGGGCATACAGTATTTATCTTCAAGATCCAAGCCCCTTTGAACGCACATACTCCTCATCTGACACCTGGACAATGTTGGAGGACTGGTCTGCTGCCTTTACTTTCATTGTCCAGATGAAGAAAGTGTGAAACAGAGAGATAAAAACACACCTAAGAGCTAACATTGTTTATCTTTGTCTTAAGGTGCCCTAAACCTTACACTATAAACCTACTACTTCACACCCAGACAGCCCAGTGCTCCCCATCACACCTTAATACAATTTCTAACTGCGCCACAAGCTCGTAATTTCTAACTGCGTCAGAGGCTGGAAGGCCTCACAAGGCCCAAATCTGAGGCCTAGACTGGAGTAGCTCAAATCTCATTCCAAACATTAATCATGACCTCTCTCTCTCAGAAATGCTGCAACACCTAAGCAATGACCCTTATAGTAATCTTAGCAGAAGACTGGGTCCCGCAAAGCAGATGCTTCTTTCAGGGCTGCTCAATAAAGCTGAGGGAACTGTTCCTTCTATTTGTAGTCACTTTGAACATATCCCCCTGTGAATTTCTCCTGCCTTCTGCTCACCATGAGGGCTGAGCCTCTGCTGACTGATGTGTGCTGTTTCCTGGGCTGGTGGATGGACTCTGGAAAGGTGGGCTGGCATTTTTTGTTCCTAGGTTTGTCCACTCAGCTCATATGAGAGGAAAAAAGCCTTAGCCCACAAGAGGAGACTGTCCAATGCACATCCCACAAGAAGGTGAGACATCAGAAAGGCCAGAACAGGCCCACATAACTCTTTTTAAGCAAACAACCACCATCTTTCATAAAAGGCATTAGAGCTCAGCTTTCCCTCATGAATCACAGGAGAGTGAGGGGGAGTAATACCATCGACCTCAGTTCTCAGTGAAATGGATTTACCCAGGCAGCTCAAGCCCTCTTCACATCTTTAATAAAGTCATTCCCATCTACCTGTCTGAATAAAATTCTTCCTAACAGTCTCTTTGGTCAAAGGTCCCAGCTGCTGCCATTGGTTTTGTTTTCAATATGCACCTCACACTTAGGCTGCTTTTGTGTTCCTTTGCAGTGTTCAATGGAATAGTTATTGATGAACAACAGTCTCCAGAATCATGCCCCCCTCCTTTCCTGTTGCTAAAATTCAGAGACAGAAAAAACCCTCAAGAGTCAGTGGGATCGATGAGCTGTTAGCAGCATCTGCATCGTTCTCAATGTTACCTCCATCTCATGCAGGACCAGACTGCAGCAGGTGGGTTCCCACTTACCTACATTTGCCCTACCTCCCATAAGTATAGGCCTTTTTAGATTAACTCCTGGGCTCTGGGGAGAAATACAGGATTTGTACAGTCTGTGTCCCTGCACAGTATCAAATTTACATTCCATGCCTGTATCACTCACACCTACTTCCACACAGCTGCCCAGTCCCACACCCTCGTATACCACCACATACACACATCTTCCCACAAATTCAGGTTTGTTGTCACATTGCCATAAACACATTTTGCTTTCTGGTTCTTCCTATGTGAATGTCTCTCCTCCACTCCATTTGCACAGGTCCCCAGGAGGCACACTAATACCATCATGCTACAGCTGAAGACTCAAACTCACCCTTGAGCCTGAACACTCCATTTACCATCCTAACCTTCAGGTGCCTCACAGTATTGCTCAGGCTTGCTCTGTGTTGTGCTACTGCTGAGAGAGAAGGAATCAGTCTTGGTTGAGAAGAGAAGAGGGATGGTTCAAACCTAAACCCTGCCCAGACAGACAGAGATAGCTGATGTCCCTGTGTGAGCTCATGCTGAGGCACAGAGCACAAAAACAAGGACTGACGGAATGAAAATGTCTTGCTTGTACATCTCTAGCACAATGCTATACCTCCTTCGCTAATAAATATGAATTTACTGATGATCCTGCTGAATGTCACTTGTCTTTAAATGTCTCTTGACAATACTCAATCTCCCATCTCTCATGGTTAGGTAGGAGTGATGAACAAAGAGAGACAGTAAACTCTGTTCCAGCCCTACAGTGTACTGCAAGAGGGAAACAGATGGTTTAATATATTATCTGTCTTCCTCTTTCCAACAAATCCTGGTACTTGCAGAAGTGCTAATCACCCAGAGCCCCAGGGGGTAAATTTTTGCCCTGCCCAGATAAACAGTTTCCATCACACGTATTTCATTATCCTTGTACTGTTCATCTTGATTCCCTTCCCCTGAAGAGACCAGTTTCAGAGATTAAAGAGAAGAATAGTCTTCTGCTGCCATTTTTGTGTTTGGTTTTTCTAATGAACAAGTCAGAAAGTGCAAGTCCCCTCGCACAGTTCCACCCTGACTAACCATAAACAGAAACAGATAGACTCTCCTGATTGTCACATGTACCAGCTCTTCCCATGTGATGCTGCTCTACAACATGCAGTCTGTCACAGCAAACAGCACATACTGACAAGGATCTTCCCAGCCAAACCCACGGAGCCACAGTGACAACAAAATTACAGAACAGCCTGGTCACTAAATTACCCAGCAGCTATGAGACAAGCCTTCTGAATTGCCTTGTTATTATTTCCCTAATACAGTCTGCTACAGCATCTGGCAGTGCAGTGCGTTTCAGGGCTAAGCATGCAATAAAACTGTGTGATTAGATAGTTAACTGTCTTGTGATAACAAGGTAGGGATTTGCAACCAGCTAGAAAAGGAGAGTTTCTTTCTAACAGAGCACAATCCAGCCAGGAAAGCTCAGAATCCAGGCTGAAACACACATGATTACCCCCTTTAAAAGAAAATCCCCATGTGAGATTTCACTGGTGGGTGAGAAGGGAGGCATAAGGATTAGGGCTGGTTTTGTTTTTCTCTTTTCTTTTCCAACGTTAATTCCCCCATACAGGCTGGTCAGCAGAGAGCAGTGATTACCTCTGTCAGGGAGAATGGGGAGGGCAGCTTACTGTGTTTACTCCTCCAGGGAGAATTGCAGGGGCCTGTGCAGCTCTAAGCTCAGCTCCTGGGGACCACAGCTGTTAGGGAGCCTACTATTAGACTCCTGTGGTTGTGACAGTACCACACATTTATCTTCTAAGGACTGGGCACATAGGGGTTGGCAACAAAAAAGCCTACCCATCCCCAGCTGCCTTCTCTACCCTGATCTACAGAGACATCCTACGCCTCCCAAGGGTGAAGTAGTGACACTCAGAGAAGAGCGTGAGTCCCATATTTGAAAGTGGAAGTCCTGTCCTCAGGGTAAGAAAAGAGGGTGTGATCAGTCTCACATAAATTAACCTTTACAAAACTCTTTCAGAGTCTAATTATCTGGCATCATGTAGTTACAGGAAAGTTGCCAAGTAATTTGCTGTGTAGGTGGGTACTTGGGATACTTGTCAGGTAACTTCTGTGTAGGTGTGCAAAGGTTTACCATAGATGAGTGATGACTTTTACAGAATGGAAGTAGGGGGCAATCTGACTTCTCATGTTCTTTCTTCACCTGCCAGGAAGCAAATACCATATTCCCACAAGCTTCCTATTGATAGCTCTTAATATGGGGCATAGCTGGAGAACGGGTTGCTTTTTTGCTACTGTCTGTGCAAACAAACCACAAAGAATGGTGATTCCTACCCTGAGGAACAGTTGACACTCAATAGGTCAGGCTGTCTCATAGACAGATTCCTAAGAGCCAGATTCTGGTTCTGTCCCCCACAGATGGGCCCCAACACAGTGTGATTTGAGACTGGATGGGGCATAAGACCTTTTCTTTCATAACCATCTTCAGTCACAGCTTAGCACTCTTAGCACTCACTGGTATTTCCTTACAACTGTGGATTTTGGTTTTCACATTTTTTTGAAGCAGCCCTTTGATTTCTCTCCCAGTCCCCTTCCCTGGCACTGTTACCCAAACAGGGAGGCAAAGCACATGCAGTCATTTGCAGTTATTCCATATGCAGTTCTGGGACAGCTCTGACCTTTTTCTGTTTGTATACAGCCTGTTTGCATGTGTCCAGCAAAATGCATTCCCTTGCACCTCATACACACACATACGCTATAGTTTCAACTTTATTCTCTTTCTGCATCACCCTACAATAACTTGTGACACTGAACACATCCTTGGTACCGGGAGGGGTTTTGTAAACTTTGGTTGGCTGGACATGCGAGGAAGCTCTTAAATGAAATGCTCTTATGCTTAAATTGGTTTGAATCTTCTTCCAATCCAGTAATTTTCTTCAGCTCATGTGTTCAGAACTCTCAGACCCTGTTACATCTGTGATAAGCTGAGTCCCAATCTTAGACACTCTGCTCCCTTAACATCAGGGTACCTCAGTGTTTTTATCTACTCCAAGCAGCCCTATTTTACACCCTTCCCAGAAGAGAGATGCTCGTGTCAGATCTCCACAGCAGACTTACCACAGGAGAGCTCAAAACAAGCAGTGGGCAGATTACTCATTACATACAATTTATTTAACAGATTCTGTCTTTTTTTTTTTTTTTTTTTTTTTTTCCCGGCGGATAGATGGTCTATGAACAAACTTTTATGCATTTATTATTGTTTATTATTTATTTATGCAAAATTGTTCAATGAATATTTTACATGGGCAAATTTCAGTCTGGGTGTTTGTAATGAGCTTTCATTCGATTAGAGAATTCTGAATATTCATAATGTCTAATTGGCCATCTCAGTCACATGGTATTTTTTTCTGTCCCCTTACTAGAAGACTTAACTTTTATTAACTACTTCCATCCCAAGGAAATTTCTTCTCTGGAGTGAAAGGATGAGAGTGATTGGCCTAAAGATGTTGTTCTAAAACACAGATTGTTGCAAAAGAGACAAGTCTGAGGCTATGTCTCTATGGCAAAAAGCAGAGCTTTGCCAAGATCTCCAAGACAGTTTTCATACTAGAGGCAGTGTCTTCATAGCAAAACACCCCAGGTATGCTCATGGAGGCTTTTTCCTCTCCAGGGTTAAGTTGCCAAGCAATTCACTAGCCTTGAATACAGTTAGGTTGTTTTAGTCTTGGCTGGATGTCTTTGCATATTACTGCTACTTACTTGTAGACATACTAGGGCTAAATTTGGTCATGTTTAATGCAGAAGGCTCCACTTCCGTTAGTGCACATTCCTAACTCTTTCTATGGACTTCCAAAGCCTGATTACCATCCTCTTCTATTGGGGAAACATCAGATAAACTGCTTCCTAATCCTCGCTATCTCTCCATTGACTGTAAAGAGCCCACAGCCAATGTGGCTACAGGCATTTGTGCTGTCAATTGCAGATATTTAGTAATAGGCAATTTCCCTCATTCAGAAGAAGTGGACATTATCAAGCTGCCTGATGCTTAGGAGTAGGCACAGTAGAAAGAAAACATATTTGAACTGCAAAGAGCATGGCAAAATCTCAAACCAGCATCTCATACACTTTGTGATGTGCCCGGAGTATCAGAAACATGTCAAGAAGGAATAATAAGGGCAGAGGGGCAGAACTAGGAGAATTAGTGGCATTACCCTATATATGATTTGGTCATTTCAGCCTTTTCTTATGGAACCTTTGTGCTTCTGGAAGGGTCACATCTGAGAAAAAGGCTTGCCTAAGGTCCTGAATTCTAGACCCTAAATCTATGTCTGCCCCCTGGTTCCTGCTGCATGCCAGGACAGGTGTGCATGGCACTGTCACAGGGCACACACAGGCACCTGGAGAGCAGTACACTATGGGAAAAGCCTGAAAAGTCTGTGGACTGTGGTGCCATTTGGAGCTGTTGCTCCTTTCTGAAAGCAAGCTCCAGTTCTGCTGTTCTAATTCTTTAGTGTGGGGCTAGGAATTGAACTCATTTTGGTTGAACGTGCAATTGAATGCAGGGACACAGACAATAAAATACTCCAACACTCTTTCCTCAATCAAAGAAATTACATGATATTAATGCAAGGTAGCTTGGGTTGACTTTACCTGCGTTAAAGCCAGGAAATGTAAAAAATGATGGTTCCCACAGCAACCTTAACTCACCCATGTTGCACATATCTAATAAGGCAGAGTTAACAGCATACACATGAATATAAAATACTACTCAAGCAAATCTCAGCCATCAAATTGCATTAATATTGATTTGTTTCTTTTAATAATAGATTGTCCCACCATTGCTTTCAAGAGAGCTTTTTATGAAACTATTTTTTTTAGGTTAAGATTAAAAAAAGAAAAACCCAGCATATTTTATTCATGTTTGATATTTAAAAGAGGCGACATTGTTTCTCCATATGAGGAAACTGACAAATAGGTAGAATTCAGTCCTCGTTTTTACTGTATTACAGTAATTTCAGTTATGGAGTTTTTAATTAAAAATTTGAAACCTAGTGTGATGACAGCCAGAAGAGACATGATCAAATTTATTGAAAAAGATATGAGGTATTAATCTCCTCCTTCACAGACTAGGTTTCTTTTATTTCTATCACTGAGCTGAACCCAGTGCTAGTGATAAGTCATCTCATTGATGGGTACCAGCCTCAGATACAGTTCATTCAGGGCTATACTAGACTCCTACCCAAATTATCTAATTACCCAAATTAGTAATATTAAAAAAAAAAAAAAAGAAAAAAGAAAAAGTGAAAAAGAAACACAGGATCCTGATATAAAGGGATTACTGATGTTTGTGCATGCTGCTCAAGATGTGGCATGTGTTGAAAGTTGCTTTTTGGCACAGACATGAAGATCAGCTACTTGATGTCCTGAAAGAAACAAGTGAAATGAATAGCAAAGCTGTGTGGGGATTTTAACCCTAAATAACTGGAGAAGATGTGATATAACCTGAGAACACAGATGCTGCTATAAATTATCATCTTTCACAGTGTGTCTTACAGAGGGTCTAGACTGAATAGAAATGAAATTAAATTGTGCCCAGAGATTAGGACTCTGCAGAGAGACATGGATGACTGGCATTG